TGCTCCCCCCTCCCCCTGCCCCCGCTGGACTGTGTTCACATTATATTATTTGGGTCCGAACCGCGGTTCGTTTGCTTCATCAAGCCAGCAGCTTTTCCCCCCGTTGCTTAGTAACGATGGCGCAGGAGAAGACGGCAAAATGCGTAGCAAGGCTCTCTTCAATTTTATATTTATGTTTTTGAACCGTTGGCTTTGTTTCCAAAGCTTCAGTACATAACGGCACTTACGTCTGCCTTACGAATGTACTGCAAATGCTCTAAAGTACTCTGAAGGTGAACAGAAATGAGATATACAGCTCTCTGCTTGCAGCGCGCCAGTCACGCTCTTCAAGAAAGTGAGTGAAACACACACACAAACACACATTTTTATCAAATAATACGTTGTTAATAGTAGTTCACTTCCGTGATTTGGAACGATTGCGTTCACATCAGCAGCGAACCGTACCGTAGTTCACTTGAACCGTACCCAGAGGCGGACAAAGTACTCAACTCCATTACTTGAGTGAAATTAGAGAAGAAAAAAAATCACCTACTGACTTTCAAAGCTGCTACAGAGTAACTACTTTCTACTTCGAGGATCTTGATAGAAATGTAGTGGAGTGAAAAGTACAATATTTGTCTTTCAAATGTAGTGAAGTTAAAGTTATAAGTTCCCAGAAAAAATAATACTCAAGTAAAGTACAGATACTCAAAAAGTGTACTTAAGTACAATACTCAAGTAAATGTACTTAGTTACTGTCCGCCTCTGACCGTACCCCAGACCACCCTTTTTAAGCGGACTCGGGTACGGTTCGCAGGTGCGTACCCGAGTTCAGAAGACCGTGTTCACATCATCCAAACGTACCGAACTCTGACATCAATCGAACCTGGGTGTGCACCAAAAGTGCTAGTGTGAAAGCACCCTTAGTCTATTAGCATTTACTAGTGTTTAAAATCGAGAACCTGTTTTTATTCAGTTAACACCAGAGTTATTATAGTTAACCAAAACTAAAATAAAAATAAAAAAATACATGAAAAAAAATTATTAAATAAATTTCATTCCTTGAAATAAAATAAAAAAATTGTACTTTATTTTATTTTATTTTAGTTAACATTAACAACAATATTTCTCATTTTAATTTAGTTTAACTTTATGTACTAAATTACAAAAAACTAAAATGAATAAAAAAAACTTTAATTAATTAATTCATTCATTCATTCGTAAAAAAAATTAATACAGTAATTAAAAAACTAAATTGAATAAATACATTTTTAATTTAATTAATTTTTTTATTATAAAATTAAAAAAATTATAAAAATACAAATTAAAAGTTTGGGGTCAGTAAGCTATTTATTTAATATAAAATATTATAAAAGAAATTCATATTTTTATTAAACAAGGATGCATTAAATTGATCAAAAGCGAGTCAGTAAAGACATTTGTTAAACATAAAATATTTCAAATAAATGCTGTTCTTTTGAACTTTCTATTCATCAAAGAATGCTAAAAAACCCAAAAAATAGGAAGCAGCAAGACTGTTTTTGACATTGATGATAATAAAAAATCTTTATATTAAGGTACTTTTGTGTGAATTTTGTCAGTGCAAGGAGGTTAGCCAACATTTACTATATATTTACTATATAGTGTTAAAGATACAAAAGCTAAAATATTCTTAATTCTTAGGGTTAGAGGCAAGCCTTGACTTACACTAAAAAAATATAAGATGCTCCAAAAGAGTAGAAACCCTTTAAAAGATGAGAAGGAAATGCACTCGGATGCACAAGGAAACATCAACGCCTCATCGGCTGGCAGTCAGTGTTACTGATAAATTACCCAGCCTTCTCGAGATGAAACGCCACTTCCACTGCAGCGTAAATTTTTCAAGTGCTTTTAATAATAACACTGTCTGCTTCATTTGTTTCTTGTCCTCTCACAGATACTTCAGTTTGAGGAGATCATGTCAAACGCAGTGTACCGGGAGCATTTCCGTGTCTACATGGAGCGCGTGGACAAGAGGGCTCTGATTAGCTTTTGGGAGCTGGTGGAGATGCTCAAGAGCGCCAACAAGGTCAGACACGCACTTCAGCAGAACATCAAGACCTTGAGCTGAAGATCTGTCAGCATACGAGTGAAAGAGCTGCTGTAATTAGCCCTGTTCAGACAATAACTGTTTCTCATGGGGACATCTGTAGAAATACTTTGCATGGTCATTTATTAATGGTGGAGGAGCGAGTTCTGTGATATTACAGTACAAACCTGAAAACACGCTGCTCAAGTGGTCAGTCACATGATTGTCAATATCAAAAAATATTGATTGAAATATTGATTCTCACTTTGTTAAACCCATATCGATTCTTCAGTCCCGAGAATTGATCTGTTGTTTTCAGTTAATGCATGAGCAAAACATTATTTTTAGCGCTCCTCCTTTCCAATAAATCATGATAAGCTTTATGTTTTGTTACTTTTCATATGAAACAAAGTCTCGGTGTTCAAATTCTGTCAATTTTATTACCAAATTCAAACATTAAATACCAGTTTAGCACTCTTTAATGTTGCGAAATAAACATGAATAAACATCAGAAGGTGTTGAAAGTAGGGCTGTCAAAATTAACACGTTAATGACACGTTAACACAAATTCATTTTAACGGCATTCATTTTATTAGCGCGTGATTAACGCAGCGTGCATTTTCTGTTTGACTCTTTGCCTAGCCGTAGTTGGAGAAATGGAGATGCACAGTGTTGCCAACTTAGCGACTTTGTTGCTAGATTTAGTGACTTTTCAGACCCCTTTAGCGACTTTTTTTTTCTTTTTTCTTTTTTTTTTCTTTTCAAAAAGCGCCTAGTGAAAAATCTTTAAGATTTGATATTTAGTTTCTGAGACTCGTCGGTAAGCACGAGGTCTCTCTTTCCTGCTGCACGCACACCTCTTTCTCTGCGTAAACAGGCTTGTGTAAGTAAATTGCTCAGTGCAAAGAAAGAAAAGTAATGGGAACCTGGTATTTCTATGTTCTTTTTTCATGTGTCTAATGGACATGAACAAGTTCTTTGAAAAACATCTATGATCTTTGAAACATGTCTAGTCTTCATGCTCTATGTTGACTGTGGTTTCACTAATAATAAACATATATTGCATAAAGCATCCTTATTTGTCCATGCCCATGTTGATTAGAGAATTAAAAGTATTAATTTAAGGTACATTTAGAACAGATAAAAATGTGCGATTAAGTTGCGATTAATCACAAGTTAACTCATGGCGATCATGCGATTAATCACGATTAAATATTTTAATCGATTGACAGCCCTAGTTGAAAGATACAGTATAATTTACTAAAATGTATCATATATCATGTAATTGCTCAGTCCGAGTTTCAAGGGCATTATAATTTAAAGATGCCAATAAAACAGCTTGTAAAAATTATGTCAGTTATTTAATGTCTATAAAAAAGTAGCATTTTGCTACATATATGCACTGTTACATATTTATTATATTTTTACATAAACTTGTTCTTCAGAATTTAATGTATGTTTGAGTAAATCCGTCATAAAAGCTGGAACATATTTACATCATTAAAAATATTGTACAATAAATATTTATTATATTATAAAATCTCCCTTATGTGCAACTTAAATGCTTCTTTACAAATCACTTAATTTAATAATGTACTACTACTAACAGGGTTTATTGTATAGTTGTATAGTTTAGAGCATTAGTTGAGATTTTTTTCCCTTTAAAAAAATAGGTATGTACTGTACTTGTCTGTAGCTTGTGAATGAAAATGAAAATCAAATCATATTCTTCTCAATACCCAGCCATATTCAGATGTAAACAAAATATCTATTATGGTTTGAACAATTGATAAATGCATATTTAAATTAATAATAGAAAATATATTTATTTTATTTATTTATTTATTATATTGTCTTGCTTTTTGCAAAATGATAGAGAATGATGGGAGAAAAACGTTAACGCAAACTTATTTATATTTACATGAGGTAAACATTTGACTCAGCTACTTTTTTGACAAGTAAAATGGCATTTTTATTAAAAAAAAAATAATATCCCATTTCAAAAGTTTACATGATTTTGTTCTCTGTTTTTCGTTTTCTCCTTAACAGTTCACACTTCTCGTAATATTGTGATGAAGCATTATTAATATTATTCAGTAATAAAAATACATTAAAATAAAAGAATAAATGATAAATAATAAAAGAATAAAAATCTAAAATGTGTGCACATTACTGCAAAGTGTAACAATTACTCTTCAGTGCTTGGCAGTGTTCAAAATGGATTTGCGAAATTACTTTTTGTAAATTTATAAATGTTTATTCCTATGGCAACTGAATTGCCACACAACCTGTTTGTCAAAAAACAGATATTTCTGAATTCTGACTGCAATAAAATCACTAACTAGCCCCAATAAATCTTAAAATGACCTTACATCCCCTTGAGAAAGGATACGCATCTGAATAGGGCTGTAGTCATGTTTCCTGTAGCTCATGCCAATCTACGGGCACAATTGAAAATGTACTAATTGGTCATTTATCTGGCACTTTTATCCAGAAATTAACGTCAGACCACAGAAACGCTCACGGCTGAAAACTCTACCAACACTCAAGCACGTGACGCAGACAAATGTTTAATTGCTGCGGCCCATTATGTCCAGCTGTGTTAAATTAGCAATTACCGGTACTGCCATTTAGCCAGGAGTGTCAGAGCTGATTGCATTCTTTTTTTTCATTGTTCTGTGGTACTGAAAAGTTTAAGATGTCATTAAGGTTGACAACTGATGAACTTTTCTGTGGAGTCTGGAATATTGTATATTGTGTATAGAATAAAAACAGGGCTATTTATGAAAATATGCAGGTACTCTAGAATGCTGTTAGCTGATAAATGTTTGAGGAGGTACATTTGGTTCATTTCTGTGCAACAGCAGATTTGCAATAATCTGTTTAATGTTGATGTCATATCTTATTAACAGTTAGCATCTGTTCAGCATGAAACCAAACCAAACAATTAAGATTAGCCATATGTTTTATAGCTTGTTGGTTCTGAATGGGAATCTGTCATTGAAATGCAGAACGTTGAAGACCAAAACCAGTAAAAGCACAATACAGCATTGCTGCTGGCAGACCAATAGACTTGTGCAGATCTTCAAACCGTCAAGGATGAAACCAACAAAACTTGTCAAGAACATGTCTGCATTTTTATTTAACTGATATTTGACCCTATAATCAAAAGAAGAAGAAGAAAAATAAACTGTTTTGTTTGATGAAAATAAAACCTGTTTAATCACATTTTCTCCCCAGTTTTAAATTACCTTAAAGGGGTCATATGATGCTTTTTTAAAGATCATTATTTGGTGTATTTGGTGTAACAGAATATGTTGACATGCTTTAATGTTCAAAAAACACATTATTTTTTAAATACTGTACATTATTGTAGGTCCTCTATGCCCCGCCTCTCTCAAACGCTTCGTTTTCTACAAAGTCCCTCCTTCCGACAAGCGCAGTCTGCTCTGATTGGCCAGCTGACCCAGTGCATTGTGATTGGCCGAACACCGCAAGCACTCATCGGAAATGTAACGCCCCTTACCATAATCGTGAGCTTCATCTTTCAAA